CTCTATTTGTGTTTACAGTATCACTAAGGTTTAGTATTACATATTTAAGTTTTTCTTTCTGTACAAATAAACTATTTTAGACAAGTTACATCAAACATACAAACAATACTCTTGCTTAGCTTCCTCCATCTAAAAGTAAGACTTTTTTCATAATATTATCAGTCAATTTTTCTTTTCGAAGGTCCCACTCAATGGCATTGCGAAAGAGTACCACAACTGTCTGAAATACTTTTAACACTAATAAAAAAAACTGCTCAGCAATAAAAAAAACTTCAAATATATAAGTCTTTGTCAACTGTCCTACCTTGCTGTAAGGATCGACTATGATCTTCTGTCCGCCAAAACCTGTGTGTGACAAAAGAAAAGCCTGAAAAAAACATTCAAAAATACATATTTTATTTAAATGTAGAAATGATCAAAATTCTCAAAAATTTGGTGTAAACAATGTAACAGAAACATTCGAAGCAAACATTTATTCACCCTCCTTTGCTGGTGGTTTCTTAAAAAATTTTACATCAAAAAAAGTCATATTTTAGTACAGTTGTAATATAGTCAGCAAAATCAGAATTTTTGAAAAGTTTAGACGAGTATTATTAGTCTCATTATTTTTAGTTCTAAGACCGAAATGGCGTCAACTCACTTTTTCCTTTGTAGGATGAACGTCATAAAAGAATCCATAACCTCGATAACATCTCACTTTTGCAACAGAATCCGTCACTAACTCTGTTGGCTTTTGTAAGACCTCCCAAACTTCTTGGCTGATTAGATTGTTCTAAAAACTAATAAAAATTGCCATTTTCTTATATTAAGAACAAATGCTGAAAGCAGCTCCAATTGGTAAAAAAAATTTTCTTACATTTTCTATTTGTAAGGAAAGAAGAAAGTAGAAGGAAACGTACTAAGAAGCATTAATTCTATTTTCCGCAAAAAATTTCTTCCTTCTATTTTCCACTTTGATAAATTAGTGATTCTTTTCTCCAGTATTTAAGCTCTTTCTAGTTCAGAAACAAAACAGGTAATAAAATAGTTATAAGAAAAAAGGCTCTATATCAGACCTGTAAGAAAACAAAATCCAATTAGTCTCTTTAGTCACAAAAGATTTACGCTAGAACAAAGTCACCGAGAAATCCAATTTAAGACAGACAAGTTTAGTTGTATATTAATAAAAAATACTCGTTACTTGTCCTCTAACCCTCTCAAAAATTTTGAACGTTTTTGGTTGATTGAGACGACCAGAGCTGCTTCAAAAAGTTTTGATTTTTTTAAGAAATCTACCTTTTAGCTCTTCCCGTTCAGAGCATCTGTTAGTATAATATTCACACTCTTTTACTTTAGTATCAAGCTAAAAAAAAGTAAAAAACTGAGCAAAATACAATGTACGCATCACTCTACGCTGTCTCATCACACTTAAGAGATCTCGACAACACTATTTTGTTTGTATCTGTTCAGCATACAGCGCAGAACACAGTTACATTAAGTAAAAAAGGACACTACTGAATCTTAATAATTTTTGAAAGACCCTAAATCCTTTGTCATTTCGCTGAAACTTGCAGTACTTCTCAAGCAGTAACGTCAAACGCTTTAAAAACGAGAGAAAAATTTTTGATATGTAATAAAACACAGAAAACTTTGAAAAATTGAGGATTACGGTGACAAGAAAAAGCAGAATGTTGTAGAGGCTATCACTTAAAAGACAAGGAGTAGTAGAACATGCATGCGGCTTAAAAGAGTAGTTTCAAAGAAATAGCCAGCCCGCCGAAGTCATTTATGTGGTAACCAGTTTTAAAATTTATAACAAAAAACAAATTTGTCGTACATCACATAGAAATGAGGGCGTCTTTGTGCTATGATGTACAAAAGTTCAA